GAGTTAATTATTCATAAGGTGGGCCTTTGTGAGGTGTTTTTAAACTTGAGTAGGCTTGTTCCTGGTAAATGTTTTGTTCCTTACAATCAATGTACTTCTTCAAATTAAAGCTATATGACTTAAGGAATAGGACAATTTGAAGAACAATAAATTTCCGAACATATGCAACACATTAAAACTGGATTATTGTGGAACTCAAAATGGTAACTGTACCGGTATTAGTCGATACACATCAAATGATTCGTAACATAAACTGTGAAATATGAAGCCAAAGTACATCCGTATGTGATTTCTTAGCTCTCGTATTGACTAGATCTCAACTCGCCTATATAAAGCCTACAACAGCAGAATAGAATTGCTGAAAGTCAGTTAACAGCTTTTGGCTTTGGTGTGCCACCCCAATATATTTCATTGGCCCCATCTGGACACCCCTATGAACAATATCCAGGCGTGCCACTGGTTAAGTGTGGGCCAATCACAGGTTTGTATCTCAGGGTGACTGCTGCTTTAATTCTCCCACGTCAGTTGATGAATAATTGCGTTCAGCTGTCGTCTCCATGTGATTTGATTGGTCTGAACTGGGAAGTATTTAAGATTGAGTGTTTGAACCTTACTTAAGATACAGTACAGTTTAGATTTCTTAAATTCTCATTTGCCTACTTGTCTTAGTGATTGTGTTGAGCAGGAGGCTCTGCAGTGTTGTCCTGTCGTCCTGAGAAAAGAGCACAATGGTGGTCGCAGTTCACTCAGCCTCTCTGGCCCTGATGATATCTTTTGCTTTTGGTGTTGCAGATGCTATTCGGACCTTGAAAGATGGACCTATGATAGATGCTGAAGGAAGGGAATATAAATCTGCCAAATTCACAATTGATGCAGAAGACATCAGCAGGCCACAATTCAATGATGGATCCACTGTCCGTGTACAATGCACCGACGCGTCCATGATCATCGTGGTAAAAGCTGACCTGTATAACAATGGACGCCCTGTGTATCTAGAGGAGCTCTATTTAGGCGAACCAGAGCATTCACAGAGAACTCAGTGCCGAGCTGTTGCTGCCGGTGACTCTGAATATGTCATTGAAGCTGGACTGCAAGACTGTGGCTCCAAATTATCTGTAAGTTGCTGATTGATACATGATGATGGATATATCTGTGGCTGAGTAAAAGTTTTGACTTTTTCCAGAATGTTCCCTGATTTTAAATGTCTTTATATTTGTCTCTAGATATCTGATGACTCTGTGATCTACTCAAACAAGCTGATAGTATCACCAGCTGCCAGTTATCATGGCATTACAAGGAGGACGCATGCTGTAGTTCCGGTTTCCTGTCACTATAAAAGGTGAGATATTTGCCTTTTTTTTTTTTTTTTGCACAAAGAAGCTGTTTTTTGACTTCATGGTGGCTGACTTTTTAACTTCTCTGTGACAGGACACACCTTGTGAGCAGCATTGATCAGCAGCTGCACCTGGCCCCCTCCACTCCTGCAGAGGTTTCAATCGCTGCTTTCTCTCTCAAGCTGATGACTGGTACGTGTGTACAACTTTTGTTTTTGTTAAGTGTGCATGCAGTGATGTCTGTCTACATTTAGATGACTGGACGAGTGAGACATTCTCCAGGACCTTCTACATTGGAGGACTCCTACACCTCAAGGCATCTTACACTGGGCCTGACTCAGAACAAAGACGGCTCTTCATCGACAGCTGTGTCGTCACTCTGTCACCCGACGCAATGTCAGTTCCCAGATACAAATTCATTGAAAACCATGGGTAAGAGTAGCTCAGTAAGCTTCGCAGTATGAAACACAAAAAAACTGGTGTTTGTCTTGGATGATAACATTTATTTGTCAGGTGCCTCACTGATGCAAAAGAGGAAGGATCAAACGCACTATTCCAACCCAGAACGAGTGTTTCTTCGCTTCAACTGCAGCTTGATGCTTTCCTGTTTTACGAGGATTCAAGGAACTCGGTGAGCCACTTTCATAACTCGGATGATTTAAACGTGTTTGGAAATGCTCCGAAGTATGTTGACATTTCTGTGATCTCTATACCCTTTTTTTTTTTTTTTAAAGATATTTATCACTTGCCAGCTGAAAGCAACCTCTGAAATGTGGATGAGCAGCCCCATCAACAAGGCCTGCAATTATGTACATTCAAGGTGATTTTATTTTGTGTATTCAATTACTATACAAAGCCTTGTACAGGTTTGGGAAGTTTTTACTCAACTCTACTGTTGGTAGATCATTGACATCTATTTATTTATTTATTTATTTTTTTTTTTTTTTAAATTTAGTTTAACCAAGTCTGAACTATTAAGATGTCTGTAGTTATGTTTAAATCCATCTGTTTTCTATGCTGCCTTGTGAAAAGTTAAAATGTAGGGTGTCACCACCCATTATACAAACCGCAAATATATTAACGTAGATGGTAAAATTTCAAAGGTTTTATGAATAAATTTGTATCCTTTCTTATCAGATGGATAAATGAGGATGGCAGGGATGTGTGTCGCTGTTGTGACAGGATCTGTTACAAAAGTTCTCCAGGCTATGACACAAATGTGAGCCCTCAGATCCCTGAAGGTATGCTGTAGATCCTAACTAGATTTTCATAACTCGTTCAAACCTGTGGTATTTCTGTGCAAAATGTGCTCTGACTGTTTTTGTGTTTCAGAAATCGTGGCCAGTGGAACTGTAACACTTGGCCCTTTGATGGTTTTCAACAG